ATCTCCATACTGATTTCCACAGTGGTTGCACCAGTCTACGCTCCCACCAGCAGTGGAGCAGTGTTCCTCTTTCCCCACAGTCCCAACAACATTTGTTATTGGTTGATTTCATGATAGGAGCCATTCTTTCTGGGGTGAGGTGGAATCTCAGCATTGTTTTCATCTGCATCTCTTTTTTTTGCATTTAATACTTTAATAATCTTTTGGGATATTTGTAAATAGAGAAGAGCTCTAGGAATATGTTGTTGATATTTTACATTTAAATATTAGGTCTTCTAAAGAAATGTGTGATTGTATGTTCTCTGTTGTCATTTTCATTTTCTGGTGTTTTTGTCTTACGGAAACTCAGCTATGATTGGTTTTAGATATTGGACAAGAAAAACTCAGTGTATTTTGCAGATATTTTGCTCGAAACAGTAATTTAGGTTTATCAATGTTAAAGATATTTTAAACATGACTATTACCTAACATTTTAACATGTGCTAGGTACCCCCCCCTTTGGTACCGGGAATTGAACTCAGGACCTTGTGCTTGTCAGGCAGGTGCAGCACTGCTGAGCTACATCCCTGGTTCAGTGCTAGGTATTTTTTAGGAAGTTTTTTTCTGGAATGTTAAAGTTGGATGCTTCAGAGGCATGTGCTACACCTTATTGATCTTTGCCATTTTACAGATTATGTATTGGGACTGCTAGTCTATAATGCACACGTATATGTCACTTGTGCATGTGTGACATTATACAAATATTTGTGCTTGTGTTTCCTTTGATGTCTGTTTCATTATTTGGAATGCTTGCTTTTCACATCTGAGCAAGTGCATGCAAAGTGGCCTTTTCTTTGATGATTCTATATTTGAACATTTCTTTGTCTTTAGGATTTGGGTACATTTGTCTTCAGTGTGCCATAATTTTTGTGAAGAGACAGTTGCTTCTCTTTTCCTATAAACTGTGCTTCAACTGTGTCCCCCTTCCTTGGCCCTTCATCCAGAAAGGTTGCTTCAGGATCCTTTAGCCCAGCTTCTGCATTTGCAGTGTGCTCTCCAGTGATGACTTCTCACATCATCTTCAGGACAGTCCTGTTGCTCTTTCTGTAGATATTTTTAAGTAGAATTCTTTCCTGAAGAGAAGCTGTGTGAGGTGAAGGCTGAGGCACGACGGGCAGAACCTCTCTGTGACTGAATCTGTTCACTTCCAGGGGCTAGCAGCAGCAGGACGCCCACGAGTTCATGCGCTACCTTGTGGAGCACCTACACTTGGAGCTTCAGGGCCGTCTCAGTGGTGTTTCCCGATCAGCAATGCTGCAGGAGAATTATTCTCTGACGTGCGTCACGCTGTCGGACTGCAGCCACGTCACCAACGACTGCCTGGCGCGCCTACTGCTCTGCTGCCCACACTTGTGCGTGCGCTGCACCTGGAGAACTGTGCGCGCATCACCAACAGCACGCTGGTCCATCATCTACATCTCTTGAATGACCAGTGATGTTGAACATTTTTTCATATGTTTATTTGCTATTTCTACTTCTTTGTCTGAGAAATGTCTGTTCATTTTA